TCAGGTGTCTGCAGTAACGGCGGGACGGTGGAGCGTCTGCGGTGAGTTCAGTGTCTGCAGTAACGGCGGACGTGGAGCGTCTGCGGTGAGTTCAGGTCTGCAGTAACGGCGGGACGGTGGAGCGTCTGCGGTGAGTTCAGGCGTCTGCAGTAACGGCGGGACGGTGGAGCGTCTGCGGTGAGTTCAGGCGTCTGCAGTAACGGCGGGACGGTGGAGCGTCTGCGGTGAGTTCAGGCGTCTGCAGTAACGGCGGGACGGTGGAGCGTCTGCGGTGAGTTCAGGCGTCTGCAGTAACGGCGGGACGGTGGAGCGTCTGCGGGAGTTCAGGCGTCTGCAGTAACGGCGGGACGGTGGAGCGTCTGCGGGAGTTCAGGCGTCTGCAGTAACGGCGGGACGGTGGAGCGTCTGCGGTGAGTTCGGGCGTCTGCAGTAACGGCGGGACGGTGGAGCGTCTGCGGTGAGTTCGGGCGTCTGCAGTAACGGCGGGACGGTGGAGCGTCTGCGGTGAGTTCGGGCGTCTGCAGTAACGGCGGGACTGTGGAGCGTCTGCGGTGAGTTCGGGTGTCTGCAGTAACGGCGGGACGGTGGAGCGTCTGAGGTGAGTTCAGGTGTCTGCAGTAACGGCGGGACGGTGGAGCGTCTGAGGTGAGTTCAGGTGTAACAGACCAACATACAACATTTAAAATCTCCAACACAAATAAACAGAAGCATGCATCTTCTGTTTTACTCTTCTACTCATACTTTGTTTGTTTGTTTGTGTGGGTTTTCACTGCTGGAATATCTATTCTGCTTTTTCTTTTTTCTCTGATAGGCTGCAGTTAAACCCCCTGAGTCCTCCACAGCTCTGCAGGGGATTGTGGGTAATGATCTGACTAGAAACAATAGCTCTGAGGGTCTCTGAGTGCATGGGCTCTTTGATTGGACAGCCTCTGAATTCCACTGTGTTCATGTGTGTGAACTGTTTTTATCAGAGTCTCGGCTAAAATCAAACTGTATCGTTGGTTTTTGGTGGCGAATGAATCCTCAGACCTGCTGCAGCTTCCTGCCTGTGTTTGTGGTTCTACTGGTGTAAAATACCAGCGGAGAAATGTGTCAGTAGTTCTCTGAGAGAGAGAGGAGGAATGAAAGCTTCAGGCGATGTTGGAGCAGAGCAGATAATAACGGGGGGGTCACCGCCGAGTGACGTGTTGTAGGAGATGATGAAGGCAGCGTGAGATTCATTAGTGGAGTGGAGAGGGCTGAGTGTGGAGACAGTACCTTCTGTAATCAAGACAACAGAGATGAAAAGAGAAAGATAATGAAAAGATGGAAACAGAGAGGAAGACGGAGGGGGAGGGGAGGGAGATATTCAATTTCATATTATTGCTTCATTCTTTCAGCTCACAGACTCATAAAAGAAATGACAGATGTTTGGAGAAAAAGAAGCAGCACGGAGCAGAGAACATGTCTGTCTACAGGGTTTAGTTTCAGCTCGGAGCTTTTTAGCCTCTTTTATCTCCCAGTTTTGTTTTCGAGACTCCTGGTTTTGTTTTCGAGGCTCCCGGTTTTGGTCTCAAGACTTTAACATTGGAATTTGCAAACTATGCAGTCACCATTTGCAGTCTGCATGTAAAAAGTGCAAAGGTGGTTTCTCTGGGTTTTGCTCACCAGTGAGGGTAAAATGCAGCGTGAGATGGACGAGCGGATGGGTGCGTTCCAGCTCTCTTGTTGAAATTTCCAACCACTCAAAGCACTTTACAATAAATCACATTCACCCCATGAAGCAGATTCACATCCAGATACACTGATGAGCAGAGGCGAAGGTGCCAGCTGCTCACCAGAAACAGAAATTAACTTATTCATACATGTTTACAGCCACCAGGAGAAATTTGGGGTTCAGTGTCAGAGCCGGGGATTGAACCACTGACCTTGTGGGTTGGGGAGTAATGGATTACATGTAACGGCATTACGTAATCAGAATAAAAAAAAACAACAACCTGTATTCTGTTGCAGTACAGAAAAAAATAGACGTAATCAGATTATTCTCATAGGGATTATTTTAAGCAGAAAATTTCCATGAAACAGAAAACGCAGTGCTATTGGCCTTCTGATGTGTTTGCTACGGAAGCCCTAAGCAACCATCGATTCATATCTTTATTTTACCCCTTTTGCCTGTGATAACGGGATAATTTTTTCCCGTGATAACCAGATCATCATCTCATGATCTCGAGATAAGGGGATCATTATCTTGGTAACGGGATCATTATCTCGCGATGTCGAGATAACAACTGTTGTTTTCTCGTGGTAACGGGATCATTATCTCAGTAACGGGATCATTATCACGTGATCTCGAGATAACGACTGTTGTTTTCTCGTGGTAACGGGATCATTATCTCAGTAACGGGATCATTATCTTGTGATCTCGAGATAACGACTGTTGTTTTCTCGCGGGAACGGGATCATTTTCTCGTCATCTGGAGATAACGACTGTTGTTTTCTCGCAATAACGGGATCAGTATCTCGGTAAAGGGATAATTTTATCGTCATCCCGAGATAATGACTGTTGTTTTCTCTCAATAACGGGATCAGTATCTCGGTAACGGGATCATTATCTTGTGATCTTGAGATAACGACTGTTGTTTTTTATCTTGCGGTAACAGGATAATTTTCTCATCATCTCAAGATAATGACTTGTTTTCTCGCAATAACAGGATCATTATCGCGTGATCTCGAGATAACGACTGTTGTTTTCTCGTGGTAACGGGATCATTATCTCAGTAACGGGATCATTATCTTGTGATCTCGAGATAACGACTGTTGTTTCTCTTGCGGTAACGGAATCATTATCTCGGTAACGGGATCATTATCTCGTGATCTCGAGATAACGACTGTTGTTTTCTCGCGGCGACGGAATAATTTTCTCATCATCTTGAGATAACGACTGTTGTTTTCTCGCGGGAACGGGATCATTTTCTTGTCATCTGGAGATAACGACTGTTGTTTTCTCGCAATAACGGGATCAGTATCTCGGTAAAGGGATAATTTTATCGTCATCCCGAGATAATGACTGTTGTTTTCTCGCGGTAATGGGAACATTATCTTGGTAACGGGATCATTATCTCGTGATCTCAAGATTCAGTTTCGGTTCAGTATCTTGCCCAAGGACACTTTGACACACAATCAGGGGGAGCCAGGGATTGAACCGCCGACCTTCCGATTAACGACCAACCCGCTCTAACTCCTGAGCCACAGCCCAACATATAAATATGCAATAGATATATACAATAGAGTTGTAACGGGATCATTATCTTGGTAACAGGATCATTATCTTGTGATCTCGAGATAACGACTGTTTTCTCGCAATAACGGGATCATTATATTGTGATCTCGACTGTTGTTTTCTCGCGAAAACGGGATCATTATATTGTGATCTCGAGATAACGGTCTAATTTTTCGTCTTGTCAAGATAACGACCGTTGTTTTCTCGTTGTAACAGGATCATTATCTCATGATCTCAAGATAACGACTGTTGTTTTCTTGCAATAACGGGGTCATTATCTCATCATCTCGAGATAAAACAGTAGTTTAACACAGGGCTTGGCAAGAATTTTTCTTGATGGTAATTTCAAGGTGGTTTCAGAGTCACCGATTAGCTCAGAAATATCTATATTGTGGACTGATATACAATTATTTCAGTGCAAGTTGGTGGTAGTGCATTTATAGTATAGTGCACTTTCTTTCTTCCCATTCCATGACATGTTGTAAATAAGCATACATTTATCTCAAAAAGCTTTGACACTCTGAATAAAGTTCTGTCTTAATGAGATACTTGTGGCCTCTCCTGCTGGCGTACAATAGACTGTATGTCAATTTCAATGTTTGTGCATCCAATCTCCATGAGCTGGAACAGCGTTTCATCTGTCAGTCTGTTTCTCTCTTTTGACTTGATGTGCTTCATTGTTGAGAAGCTGCTCTCACAGATGTAAGTGCTTCCAAACATGCAGGCCATTGACAGTGCAAAATCCCTTAGGAGTGGAAAGCGGGACTCCGGTAGAAATCTCCAAAATGAAATTCCCCTCTCACTGCGCTTTGCTTCAAAGAAGGGATCTGACTGTAGTTCGCACAGTTCAAACTGCTACTCAGGGGATTGGTGGCTGACAGCAGCAGAGATGGGGTCAGTGAATAACGCAATTCGTGGCTGCATGGCGTAGAAATCTTGAAAGCGGTCCTTAAACGGCTGCTGCAGTGTTGCAATGCCGGCTCTGTACATGACTTCTTGCATTCAGGGACATCTTTTTGCATGTCTGCACAAGCGGGAAAGTGTGCCAAATTTGGATGGTCGGAAGAAAAGCTGAAATGCGTTCATGTGTGCATAGCGATCCGACACAGTTTGGCCTCTTCCCTGCAACTGCATACAAAGGCTGCCCTCCAAGAAAACTGGGATTTCAGCGCACAGCGCAAAAAACCTCTCCAAGCACTTCCAATGGCTCATCCATCTGATCTCAGTGTGCATCTGTAAATCCCTATAAGCGGCGCTCACTTCATCCAAAAATGTAACAAACTTCCGATGGTTGAGAGACCGGTTCCCGCCTCGAATGAGATTTGTAACCTTGGTAACTAAATCCATGACATGGCTGAAGTTGACTGTCTTCACACAGAGGGCTTCCTGTAAGATCAAAATGAAATGCGATTTAGCCTGTGAAAATAATTCTTACAAAGAATACTCACATTCATAAACATATAGTTAGCTAGCAATATTTTACCCACCTGATGTATGATGCAGTGCAGTATTTGGCAGTCGATGCCGCTCTGTCTGAGGAGCCCGGCAAATCCAGTGCATCTTCCTTGCACTGATGGTGCGCCATCGGTAACAACAGCAGAAAGCTTGTCAAAGCCCCCATGCTCACTTACAACACTTTCAACGGTGTTGAAAATATCTTTGCCTTTGGTAGTGTCATGCAAAGACACCAACTTCAGTAACTCCTCGTGCACTTCAAATTAATTGTCAATGGCTCTCGTGTAAATAAGGAGCTGGCTTACATCCATCACATCTGTACTTTCATCCAATGCTAAGGAAGTATTTACAGTCATGCACGACTTTTTTTTAGCTTTCCTTTGACATGATTTTGAATGTCAAAAATTCTTCATGTGACTGTGCGACGGGACAGAGAGACTGTTTCAAAGTTTTTAGCCATGTTATCATCTCCAAAAGCTTTAGCCATCTCTACTGCACATCGCTTCACTGTTTCACCGTCTGACAATGGCTTCTTTGCTTTAGCAAGCTCAACACACAGCATAAGATGCCGCAAGAGAGGACTCCTGTGAAGTCATAGCTTTGGTAAAAAGGCTCTGCTGTCGATGTATTTTTCTTTTGAGGTCAGCGACGATAGCGGCTCTGGCAGCTCCGGCGTACTTATCTATACTCATATTTGTCTTTGTGCATGGTGTTGTAGTGCCGACTCAAGTTGAAATCCTTCATGGCTGATTTTGTTTCCAGGCACACACTTTGAATCCTATAAAAAGATAATCCATCTTGCCTGGAAGACACGGTTCTCTTGGTCCCGTTTTCTTTTTTGGACGCTCATTTCTCTCTTCGTCGTGCTTCGGAAGAGGCCTGGTGACACCAAGAAGAGACCATGTGCTTGGTTAAGGGCCTCTTGCGTTACGAGGGAGCGCCCTCTGTCGTTGGAAATTATAATTACAATTGGAATCCGGTTCAAATGTGGTCAAATGGCCCTCTTGCTTCCATCGCCTGCGAAACTAAAAATGGATTAATATTTTGAAATTGATTGCGGGCCGCACTGAATGAGCACAAGGGCCGCCAGTTGCCCATCCCTGATATAAACCATCATCACTGAGTATAAATATATTTCAAACATAATAATAAAATGAATGATCTCTTTGTTTTTACTTGTTTTTGGCAGTAAAAGTTCAAAATCCCCATTGACCAAAAAGTAAACCTCCATATTGACCGAATGAAATGGTTTGATCCTGCCTCAGCGCACACATCAGTGAGATATTGAAAAGTAAAGAGAGGAAAGATAAAGGAAAGGATGTCAATCTGTAACCCAGACTGGATTGTTGTAACGCACACTGATGTTTTTACCTTGCTTTTATGATCTCACCTGTAGAACTTTGAGGTTTGTCTTAAATGTAAAGTGCATTACAAATAAAATGTATTATTATTATTACCCAGGTGTGCAGCCTTTAGTCTGTGAGTGCTTAGCAAGATATTCATATTAAATCATTGTCTCCGCCCCTTTTTGCAGACTAACAACAGATGAGTCAGCAGCAGCCCAGCCTGCCCATAACTGCAGCCTCCCTGTCCCAGTGAAGAAGGGGAGCAGCATGGTGTTAATGCCAGGGAGTCTGTGGGGATTTCTCTGGCTCTCTGGCTCTTTTTACCAGAACAAGAAAAGAAAATGAAATATTTCTTAATGACAGAAATTCAAACACAAATTATTTTCTCACGTAATGATCCTAAAATAAAAACACACCTTCCTGTCTGTCCTGGATGCTGGACAGCAGCTTACCTCAGCCTGCATGTAAGTTACAGACTATATTAAAATAATCCAGTTTGATACGTTCATTTAGACTGAATTATGGCCGTTAATGACATCTATAGCTACAGACTTTATCATTCCCATCATGAAGGGCAATTTATTTGAGAAGCAAATAGTGAACTGCATCCTGTGTGCAGACTTGCACGTACAAATCACCAGCAGTACATATTGAGCTAGTACTAGTATTGAACTACAAGAAGCCCGACACTTGCAAGCCTTTAATTAGAGTTATGCAAAGCTTTTGATGGGACAGTTAAGTCCTAGAGAAGTAATGCTGTGCAGAGGGGGTCCAATTAGATTTTTTTGTCATGGGGCCCGTTGTCTGTAGAGAATGTGGTTACGCCCCCACCTCGTCATGCAGACTCTGTGCGGATTGGTTCCAGCTCTCAGTGAGTGAACACGGCAGCTGGACCAGGACCGAACACAGCCTCCGAGACCGACAGAGGCCAGTTTGACCACTGGGGATACACTAACTTTACCGAGGTGGTTTTCTTGCCGGGTGCGGTTGGCTCTTGACACCCTGGGGCTGGTTCCCAATCGGGCGCTGCACCACGCCATCCTTCCCTGCAGTGTTTGAGTAAAGGTGTAAACACCTTCATACAGTCTATGGTAAACAAAAACACTCCCCCGATGCTCCGAGCTCCCAGTACGGACAGACTGAGCTAATTTGTAGTGTTTTAGTACTCGAGACTGGTCTTGGTCTCGTCTCGGACTCGACCGCATATGTACTCGATCTTGTCTCGGTCTCGGTCTCGGACATTGAGGACTCAGGATTTTATTCCATAAGTCCATAACTGTGGGAATATCAATAAACTGCTTTTGCATTGTCTGATTTATTAGTTAACATCCTAACTTTGATTGGATCTAAGACTTTTTGTTTCAGATGAATCCATCCATCCATCGTCCACCGCTTATCCTGCGTACCGTAACGACTGCCCCCCCTCCCCGCGATGGTAAACATGGAAAAGGAGTGTTGAATAAAGATGTTTACGTTGATTTCAGCTCTTAGTGTTTGTATGTGGGTGTTTTTATGGGAATGTGGATCTTTCAGATCAGTTTGAGAAGCACCTGTGATCTCGTTCCACATTTTATTGTGTGTGACCTAATGTGGGGAACTGGTCTTGGTCTTGACTCGGTCTCGCCCTACCTCGGTCTTGGTCTCGACTTGGTCTCAGCCCCTAAAAGTCTTAGTCTTGACCTGGTCTCAGTTTGGGCGGTCTTGACTACAACACTACTAATCTGACCAGTGGTTGCACAGCTAGCTGAGCTACTAGCAGCAGCTAGTTAGCTGATAACTAACTTCAGCAAAAAGTAAAGCTGTCTGTCCATCAGGCAGAGCAGCCGGGGACATCAGAGAGAAAACCTGAAGTCCTTCTCAGACCAGGGGATCCTCAGGTCCTCGGCGTTACCTGGCAGAACTCTGTGACGATGCAGAAGGCGTCTCTCTCCAGGAAGCTGTGGTAGAAGGTGAGGATGGCCGGGTGGTGCAGCTGAGACAGCAGATGGGCTTCCTGCGTGGCTCGGACCGTCTCGTCAGGTCGGAGGTCGCCGAGAGGAATCTGCTTCAACACCTTCCTGGAGGAGTCAACAGAGGTCAGAGGTCAAATAGGTGGCGGTGTGTTTTTTTCCATATTTCCACATTTATTTATTGTTTTATTCATTGATTCTTTCTTACATATATTTACACATTTATTTATTGTTTTATTCATTGATTCTTTCTTACATATATTTCCACATTTATTTATTTTATTCATTGATTCATTGATTCTATCTTACAAATATTTACACATTTATTTATTGTTTTATTAATTCTTTCTTACATATATTTCCACATTTATTTATTATTTAATTCTTTTATTCATTGATTCTATCTTACATATATTTCCACATTTATTTATTGTTTTATTCATTTATTCTTTCTTACATATATTTCCACATTTATTTATTTATTATTTTATTCATTGATTCTATCTTACAAATATTTCCACATTTATTTATTTAGTCATTTATTGATTCTTTCTTACATATATTTCCACATTTATTTATTGTTTTATTCATTGATTCTTTCTTACATATACTTCCACATTTATTTATTGTTTTAATCATTGATTCTTTCTTACATATACTTCCACATTTATTTATTGTTTTAATCATTGATTCTTTCTTACATATATTTCCACATTTATCTATTTTATTAATTGATTCTTTTACATATATTTCCACATTTATTTATTGTTTTATTCATTGATTCTTTCTTACATATACTTCCACATTTATTTATTGTTTTAATCATTGATTCTTTCTTACATATATTTCCACATTTATCTATTTTATTAATTGATTCTTTTACATATATTTCCACATTTATTTATTGTTTTAATCATTGATTCTTTCTTACATATATTTCCACATTTATTTATTGTTTTATTCATTGATTCTTTCTTACATATACTTCCACATTTATTTATTGTTTTAATCATTGATTCTTTCTTACATATATTTCCACATTTATCTATTTTATTAATTGATTCTTTTACATATATTTCCACATTTATTTATTATTTTATTCATTGTTTCTTACATATATTTCCACATTTATTTTTTTATTCTTTTATTCATTGATTCTATCTTACAAATATTTACACATTTATTGTTTTATTCATTGATTCTTTCTTACATATATTTTACACATTTATTTATTTAGTCATTCATTGATTCTTTCTTACATATATTTCCACATTTATTTATTTATTATTTTATTCATTGATTCTATCTTACATATATTTTACACATTTATTTATTTAGTCATTCATTGATTCTTTCTTACATATATTTACACATTTATTTATTTAGTCATTTATTGATTCTTCTGGAACTTTGGGAGTGAACAGGTGAAACACATCAGGGTAATAAGGGAGACAAAGACAGGAAATAAAGCTCAATGAAGAACACAGAGAAAGATATCAACGTAAAACAGGAAGTAAAGCGTGCAGCAACATGAGGATGGATTTAACAAGGTAAAACTGAGAACACAACCATTACTTTACAGAACCGAGGCAAGATCACAAACACAGAATGAAAACGCAGATTCGGAAAAAGAAAAAACCCTTTAAAAATAAAAATAAAACTGAAAACCACAAACATGACAAACATTTATTCAGCTTTTTCCTTTATTGTGTCACCTGTCTGCACACACGTGATGTTTTAAAGATCATTTAAGTCAAGAGAGTTTGGCAGTTTGGTGTAAAACATTAAAGTAGTTTTGTGTGAAACTGCTCAATGAACTACATAAACACAAAGTACAGCTGACGGGGGCGCTGCAGGAAAAGCCAATTAATCAATTTCAGGACAATCCATCCATCAAAGGGGTGAACGACCAGCCGTCACTGCCATCACTCCATCAGTGTGTTACGGCCCGACCCGGATATTTGGGAGGTGTTTGTTTCAGCACAGAACGTGATGTAAACCTGATCTGTGGGCGCTACACATGTCTGCAGGACTACATTTCACACATCGGATGTGAGGAACATGTTTAAGTTTCCACGTGCAAACCTGCTGACACAGAGTCCTCACAGACTGGACCCCCCGCCGCCACAACCTGCTCCTGAGGGAGTTAATCAGCTGCTCCTCGCCGAGCGGCCCGTCTCTTCTGCTCTTGTTAAATTGGTGAGCAGGTCAGCAGGTGAAATGGAGGCTCTGGTTTATTAGCACAGAACTCCTTTCCCCTTCACTTTCTGCTCTGAAGGCAAACTGAGGACCAGAGTCCTGCTGAAATATAACCTGTTCACTGCGTTTAATGAATCAAATCTTCCTTTCTGTCTCAAGCACATCCACTGCTCACTTTGTGCTTCCACCTATAGTCTCCTGAATTTACAGAAAGGACGATACGGTTTAGAGAGCATTGAGGACTGTACAAGAAAATTATATTTTAAAGCTATTGGCAAACCTGGTTCAGTTTAGCAGCTAAACAATTCATTAACATTAGCAGCAAACGTTGTAAGCTCTGCTTTGTTGTTTGTATAATCTCCTGTGTGAAAGTCCTGAGTTTGGTTGTTTCTATCCACCTGAACCACCTCGCTCACTTTGTCGCTCTTAATACCACATCTGTCAGGATCGTCAGAGTGACGGCAAAACACCAAAGACCAGGATGCAATATTTACTGGACTCACGGTAACTCAGGTGCAGATAAAATACAAAACAAGGCTGAGTCCAAAAAGCACAAATCCACAACTGGCAGGTTATTCCAAAAATCCCAGAGTAACACTCAGAGGGGTTCAGGACACTCGACAAATGATGACGGCCGGACAGAGAGCGTGCACACATCAGGTAATCAACAGGGCAACACACACGAGCAGGCAAAGCAACTTACAATTACTATACATGTCAGAGGTCGCACGCCTCTGGAGCAACATTAAGGGTCCTGCTCAGGGACACATGGTGGATGGGGAATTGACCATCACCACCCGATGCTGAGACATGGATTAAACTGACCAGTGTTCAGAGAAACGTGTTAAATGTTTAAAAAAAGTCACACAGTTACAGTAATGGATTGCTTTATGTTGTAACGCAGTTAATTTAACGCATTGCTAACAAAAGTTTTGTAGTATTCTACCAGTTATAAACTCATTTTAATTCGCCAACACCACGAAACAACCTGAAAAAAACTGTGACTAAAAGAGAAGTTATTTCCTGTTGCTGGAAATCGATGGTTGAGACTGATAGACGGGAGCTCGCCTGAAAACATCATTTGTGAAATTCTGGAGGGTCTTTAAAATATTGATAAAATGGATCATAGATCCTGCGCACATGTGATTTCTTTTCCTTATCAAAGAGGCTGCTGTCAGTGCATCCTGTCGGAGAGTTAAATAATCAATGAAGTTATGCTGCTGCACCTTGTGCATAAATGCACACGTCTTTCTTAATGGGAGACGATTCATCTTATTTCACCCACATTTTAATAACAAAGACCCACCCGATCTGCAGATATAACTGATCTGCACATCACTAGAACCCACCAATGCAGGACCAGCTTACTATCTGAATAATGATTAAAAAGCAGTGAGAGTAACTCAAAAGTAGTGTAAAGCATTACAATTCAGAGAATCTCTGGTGAGGACGAGCTGCTTATTTCAGGTGAACATTCAGTCGCTGCATTAATAAATCCTCTCTGTCACAGCTGCAGGTCTGTTTGTGGCGTTTCTCTTGTGTTCAGTGATGCTGACAGTAAGTTCTGTGAGCAGATTGTCAGTCACCGAGCAGCCGCGAGGCCTCGGCGACCTCGTTAACTCCACCTGACGCAGGTACGACTGAAGCACAGGCTGCGATCAAGAACAGCAGGGCCCCGGGGCCTGACGCACAAAACTCTGTGTTCATACGCAAAGACAAACATTCAGACGTGTTCTTTCCATCAGAGTCATAAAGCTGTGAGTTTGTCTGCTTCTGTTTTACAGACGTCAGTCAGCGTGGAACCTCCAGCTTCGTTTCAGCTCCACACTGAGACCAACGTGGACGTAGAAATGTAGAGGAGCAGAACTGGAAATAGCTTTTTTTCAGGCTTCTGATTGGTCAACATGGGGTTAGGGTTGGTTTGGCACGCTCTTTACTAGGGCTGAAAAGATTTAGAGAGAAAATCAAATAATCCCATTATTGAAAAGCATCGATGCTTCGTTCTTTTTAAGTAAAAAAAAGATGTGTATATACCTATATTTAGCAACTGCCCCCCCCCCCCCCACTATCCTCAACCACAAGATGAAACTTTGCGCATTAACCACTTAATTTCTTACATTCTGGACAAATTTTCTGCACCAATTTATGGAGGAAATGTCTTTATTTATATGAAGGGAAACTAAAGGTACACAATGGAATATAATTCAGTAATCAGCTGTTGGACATTTGTTTCTTCTATATTTCAGTTGCATCGCATGTTTTCTTTTGGTGCATTCTTTCATTTGTTATTCAACATTTCTTGTTGCTGTTTTTCAGAACATTTTTAACAAAAGCTTTCAAAAGCGTTGATGGAAACATTCTGATTCTGACCTGTCCCCAGCGTCCCCAGCGTAAATGACACCCCCATCTGTCAACACTTTTAAATGTCCCGCCCCATCCAGGCTGTGATTGGTCGGTTCACCACAAGTTCACACACGGCTGCTTGAAAAGGCCCCGAGCTTCTCTTCTCCCTCGTCTCTCTCCGCCGACAGAGTTTAGCAGGCAGGCGAGAACCTGGAACAGGTGAGCGTCACGTAGCGCCCAGAGAGGGCAGAGGAGAGGACCGGCGGCTTGGGAGAAGTCCCGGTCGAGGTTCCGGCCCACCTCGCTGGAATCGATGAAATAATCTGTAGAATACTCCATTCCAAAAGTCAGCTGCAGCCCTGCTCTTTACAGCGCTTCACTTGTGTTTCTGCGTTTTCATGTGGATTTTTTAAAAACTCACTTTATAAAAGCTGCGTTCGTGTGGACTAGGCCTGAACAATGTTTGTCTGTCAGCCTCTGAAAGGAGCTCCTCCTCCTCCTCCTCCTCCTCTCTCAGGGGTCAGTGTTGTTGAGGGTCAGAGGTCGGTCCAGCTGCAGCCTCCAGC